TATTAGCGTCGAACGTAGCGCGTAGGGCTGCACTTGCCCCGCTAAGCAGTCTTAACAACCTGTCATATAGGTCGGCTAGGTTCTGGTTCCTATACATTTTTAAATTCATGATTTCCCCATAATATACTTCAAACGGTTGCCCGGGCGCGAATCTTTCTTTCAATAAATCTATTATATCTGTGAGTCTTGCAAATTGTTTATTGTCGGTGCAGTCCCTTGCTGCTCCTGACAATTTTCCTAGCACCGAGGCGATTAAAGTTCCTTCATATTCAGGAGGGAAAGTTAAAGCTGCCATTACTATATCCTGTATAAAATCTTTAACCGACATGTTCCTTCCATCGAAAACCCTTATCTGTTGTAGAGCGGTTTGTATATTTAAAGTATCCGCAATAGATCGGGCAGCGGCAAAACCAGCATCTTCTTCGCCGTTTGCGATAAATGGTCGCTGAAGAGGTAGCCCGGAATGGAAACCTAAATCTGTCCTATCTCTATACAGTTCTGCTACACTTGATGCATTTAAATTTTCGCGTCTATTGTCCGCGAAAGGGTTGTCAGCGTGTCCATGGTTGTCGCCACCATTACCGGATTGACGGCGTTCCCCGTTTCGTTCCTGGTCCGTCATGGTCTTTCGCAAAATAAAACGCAAAAATCAAAAATAAACAAAAAAAAAATTTTTCAAAAATTATTCATCTTCTTGATAATCGCAAAAACTAACACTCTTATTTTCTTGAATTATTATTTCGTAAAAAAAAATGCCATTTTAAAAAAAAATACTCGTGTTACTCTGTAACACGACACGGTTTCTTATTTCGTATTCTCTATACTCTTTACCGCAATTGAAAGAAAATCGCACTCAAACGTCTACTGCTGTTTGATTAATAAAACAACTGTGTATCATCTCTTCTAATTCTTAAATCTAAACGCACAATAAAATCTCAATAATTCGCTTTTATTATTATTATTAACGCAAATAAAATTCTTTTTAAAGACCCATTGTAACTCGTATCTTTTTCTTTTATTATTATTTTAATTCTTTCACCTATATATATTCTGTCTATTCAGCACTCTGGCCGCGACTCGGTTCTCGTAGTGTTTTGTAATATGACGAACACACTAACCCCGTAAACTACCTAGCTACTGTAGGTCATTGAATTCGCAACAAATAAATAAGTCGATTAATTACCCGACATTTTTAACTTTCGCAACGATTGCGCTAATGTACTATAACTATTTTCTGAACGCGTATCTTTGATTTTTTCTTTTTCCACGAATAATTGTCTTTTTACCGCATCGAATTTTTCTGGACTAATATTTCTTCTCGTTAAGATTTGTTCTCGAATTTTATTCTGTTTTTCGGATTTACTCTCGTGCTCGTACTTAGAAAAATTAAACATTTAGAATTTTTAATTCAACAACAAAAATTTAAATTCGCGTTTTGTACTTTTCGTACTTTAATCCTCTCACTTGCCCAAGTGGCTACACACTTCCGGCAAGGTTAAGTCGAGGAATTTTTCCCGAATTTTTAGAGAAACCAGAGCTTGCCGAATGCAAGGGTAGTTACTGTGTCTCGGTTCGACGTTAGCGAACTAAACAAAAAATTCTACTCGCGCACTTGACAAAAATCCCAAAAAAAAAATTTTGTCTGAAAATTAAAGCATCATAACATCGACACAATAAATAAATTTTTCAATTCAATAATTGTTCATGGTGTATAAATTCAATTGCATCATTTTTTTCATCATTTAAATCCTCAGTGTTTAATGTGTGTTTGTAATTGTGTTTTTAAAACATGTACATTTTTAGAAAGAAAATTTATTTTTTTCACTCTTTACTGATCTCTCATTTTTCTCTCTTTTAAATTATTTTCTCAAAAATATGAGCGACAAATCCCACCGCTGCCACCATTTTGTTAAAGATGGATGTTGATTAACAAAAAAAATAAAATAAAGTAAAATAAATTTTGAAGAAAAATAATAAGATTAGAAACAACACTAATTTTTATTATTAACAACCCGCTTATTCGGTAAGCGTAATTGCTCTTCGCTACACAAGATAGAAAAAGGTAGTGGACTGTTGCTTAGAGTGTTATCTATTCAACACCCCCGGGTAGACGGTATTTCGTTGAAAATGTTCACAAAGAAAGAAATGAGATAACACAAATAAAGGTGATTAAATAAATTGAGAATTGAATTGACATAAAATAAGGTAACATTTATTCATACAACCCCCAATAGAAAATACATGCAAAACCCCAATTGATCTTTAAATAAAAAATGATTACAATGGAAAATACTGCTACGTTAAACTACTTGAATTGATAATTCAAGTCTCACAAAAATCATATATTATGAACACAAACAAAAGATCAATAATGAGTGTAGGATTTTAATAACAACAGCAAAAAATTAATTCGTGTAAATGAAACAAGTGTAATAGTGTTGGTTTTATGAGATTCTGTAATTTCCAAATTATGAATATAAATTCAAGACAACTCACCCAAATAATAATAACTAAAATGATACCGAAAAGTATCAAATTACTTTCTCACTCTCAGAAGTAAAATTGTTATCTGTCATATGAATCTGCAGTATGCGGAAGCTATCTTTCCACCTTCGTTTATTTTTATATATTTTCTTTTATCAAACTTGTTTTTGTTAATTGCCTTCGGACAATTATTTCAATATTTCAATTTCTGTTTATTAAAAATTCAGAATATTGGGTCACAAAATCTGAATTTTCTGAACAGTAAACTTGAAATATAAACAATTGCGAATATATAATAAATACTTTAGACAAGAAATGGATTCTTTACTTTAACAATTAGACACTTTATACTTTTCAGATAATCTTCTTGATTTTAATGAACTTTTATGTACTCGTCGACTTCACAGATTGTGGAATAAACACTTATATTTTTAATAAATAAAACTCGATGAACTTCAACCCTTACTATGGGGAATAAATGATCCTCTCTACCACTCTTAGTGGGAGTTAAACTTTAATATTCATCCGCTCCTTGGCGGGAAATACATCCGCTCTGCGGGAAAAACAAATTAAGACTCCTCGAATAATAATTTGGTGGCAACGATCACACCCATTTGGTATATAATTTTAGGTGGTGGGAGGGTTGATTTTGCAATCAACACCTCGTTGTTTCCATGCAAGTTTTAGCAAAACTTGCATTTTAATCGTGGCGTGATCGGTTCAACCACCTTTATTATCGGTATACTTTATATGTTTCCTCATTTTCCCAAAATAATGTGGCAACTCTTTGCAGTGTAAGTCCCACAACTTGCGAAATCGACTGTTAATTTAGTTTGAATTATTTCGCAATATGAAGTTCAATAATCTGAACTCATTTGCGAAATAAACTTTGATTTAGAAATTAAATAAAAAAATGAATTTATAAATATTTATTGAATTAATTAGAAATATTATTTAACTATTCTAGTGTCTGAAACTTAGTATGTGTGTGTGTTGTGTGTTGTATAGACGTATGTATATAATTGACAAATAGTTGTAACGTTGATAATATAAATATTATTTTTAATAAATAATATTTATCGCCTAAAAAAATTTAAAAATTACGGAAATCCGTCCGTAACAGTTATGATTTTAAAAAATATCTTTTTTTACTTATAGTGATTATAGTGATAGGTTTAACTAATTTAATATTAATTATTATCACCATTAATTTTATTTTTCAGTACTATTTATATATTACATTCTGTATATGTAATATATTATATTTATAATATAGTGTGTATATATATATAGTATATTTATTAATAATTTATTAATAAATATCTATAATAACAGTATAGATGATAATTTTTTTGGATTTGCATAATTTAGTCAAGATGTTATTTGTTTTTGGTATCCGTTGAAACACGTGTCCTGTACAACACATATCGACACATAAACATCGTGCAACATAATTTGAATTATGTTTGGTTTCATGGAATTTTTGGGAAAATTATTTTTCTATTATAATTTTTATTATTTTTTTATTTAAAATTATTAAATGAGAGTGGAAATCCATATTGTATTTAAATCTGATGAGGCCCGACGTTGACGGGCGAAAGCTCATTTAATAAGAATTTTAAAAATAAAATGTGGATTTTTACCAAAAACAAATAACATCTTGACTATCTATAATAACATTAATAAAAGTATATTTATATTATAAAGAATTCAAAAGTTCGCGCGTGAAATTAACCGGCTGTCGGTTTATACTTGTGTGTGTGGCTGTATGGAGGGAGGCGCACGGGCGGCATGGTGGGAGTGGAATTGGTGTGCGGCTTGGCATCACTGTCTCTCAAGGAAGTTACTTCTCTGACTAGCCTTAGTTCTAACCCGCAACAGTTTGTACTTAGCCAATCTACGAAAGTTTGTACTTAGAAAATTTACGTCAATTTGTTCTTAAAAAAATTCCGAGTTTTCATACTTAAAGAAATTCCGAGTTTTCATACTTAGAAAAATTCTTAAAAGTTGGACTTAGAAAAATTTCGCGAAGTGGAAATTAGAATATTTTCGAATGTTTATACTTAGAAAATTTTCTGAACATCAGAATTTGAAATTTTTACGTATTTCTCACTTTACATAGTTTGTGTATTACAAGTATTTTCTTGTATTTTGTGTTCTCAAATAAAGTTATCTATTAGTATTAAAGTTGTGACTTCTCATCTTTGGTGAAATCAACTATGGTATATCCTATCCACATTAATTTTCTTAATTAGAGACAACATTAGATTCCGACGACGGTATCACACTCACGCCGTTACGGAGACAGTTGTACTTTTATACGGTATGCACCATTTTTTAATATTCTAAAACGTTTGGATTGTAAAGCACAAAATAAAAACTATGTCCATCTTGGGGCCCTCTCCCCTATATATTACAGAAATATTGCAAATAAATATCCCCATGATATTCAAGTGATATAATGTGATGTTAGGGAAGAATAATAATTAATCAAATAATCGTTTAATGTTATTAACCTTTATAGGAATATTCTCCAAATTTGTAAGCGCTACTGCAGCTGCGGGCAAACCTTGAGCCAGAACTGTTGGTAAAATGTTTTGTCCCCATGAATCAACTACTTTTGATATATCACCTTCATTGTTCGTTTTTGCAGAAACTAAAAACATAACTGTATCAGAGACTTTTGCAGCATCCAAAGTCGAAATTACATCACCAACTGGAGGTATAATTAAAGAGAACCGTCGTTTAATTCTGCTAATGCTATGGACAAAATAGAATAAAAATTTAGAATACATATAATATGAATCTTTGATGGTCAGGGACAAAAAATGTGAGATAAAAAAAATTTTTATACTAAACATGAGATAAATGAATCAGTTGTTAGTATAAAAAATTATACACAAATAATTAAAACACATACATTAATGTTGAAACTAAAAAATCATTGAACAATATAAATTGTATACAGAATATAGTCACATATTAATAGGTGTCTATACAACAACACGAATATTATTTAATTTAACAGGATTAAAATTTAAAAATTATAAAAGGTCTAGTCAATTTTTTTTTTTATGTACAAAAACATTCTTTTTTTAATTTCTTAAAAATTTATTTACAAACTACATAGATACATAAATAACGTACTATAATAATATTTACTTTTTAATAATATTTTGTTAATTTAGCAACAACGTTGTTACTAGTTAAAAAGAAGAAAAGAGAATAGTAGAATTCTGGCTTGAACCACATTTTCAATGGATTTTTTATGTGGTAATGTTTGATTGGATGGTCTTGCAGATGTTTCTGATTGTTGACAATAACCTTAATTTGGACTATGTCCATCCCAATTTTTAGTAGTATATCCCTTACTACCTTGGATTATGGGGTCGTATCATAACCTTCATCTCCAGGAAAATCTAGTAGGTATGAGCACTCTTTCTTGTTTTTAACTTCAATAAGAAGTACTCCTCTTGAAGATCAAGGACAATTTGGAGTGCTGCAAACTATTCGTAGGCCAACTATTTTCATTATATCTGTCCCTATCTTGTCGATTTTACGGAACGAATTTTTTTACATTTCCTGACATTTTGACGGGGTACTCCTCTACTGAATCGTCATTATCCAAAAACAACTTCACCTGGTCTCTTGGTGTTGAAGCGAGTTCCACAACTCGGTATGTATTTTCTTCCGTAATATTTTTTAATATCTCATGTAACAAGTGGGATTTCCCGGATCCTGATGGTCCAATAAGGGCAGTTACCACCTTCCTAGTATGATCATCTTTCAGGTTTTCCTCACTTGTTGCGAAAACGTTATCAAATACGAAAAAGAGACTCCATTTACTTTTGACATTACTTTGACGCTTTTTCCAAATACTTTTTTCCTCCAGTTTCATGTCAACGATGTTGAATTTTCCAAACATCTTGAGATATATTTCTCAAACCGTGACCATAATGGACTATCTGAAACAATCTTTGAGAGAAATATATAATTCGAAAATTTCTTATAGTTTAAAAGAATATATAAATTTAAAAATATATAAAAATACAAATATATAAAAATACAAATATATAAAAATGCCACTTGTTTTGCTTTTGGAGTCGATAATTTGGAGATTCAGTCTTAGTTTTACGGGGACTATTCTAGTCTATTGTCTTTGTTCGTTAAAGTCAAATTGTGTGATGGAAGCAACAAACAAAAAAAAACAGCGCGAACGCGCCAGACTAAGATGCGATGCAATCGATATGGGAAATTTAAATAACGAAATACCAGAATCCCAAAAAATTTTAATTTGGCCATTTGTTTTGAAAATTTGTTTCTTAAGTTTAAAATAATCGAACTGATTAAAATTTTCACTATTTCTACCACTCAAAACGTTAATACTTTGTATTTTTATAAACAGAAGTTGTTTTCCAAAAGTTAATTGAATTTTGTATTCCTTTCAACATATGGAATTATATTTTCGAATTATTAATTTTGTCTTTCGTTTGTTGTCGGGAAAATGATTAAGAGTTACCTGCTTACTCTTTTCCCCACTTATGCTAATTTCTGGAGGAACTGATTAGGTGGAAAAAATTATCCCTATTTAGCAGAACCTAGCTTCGCGAAGATGCTTGACCATACGATCACTTGTTTCCTGGATTGCTTCTGAATCGCTCTTGCCTTTTGGTTTCCTTTTGCTACATAATTGTGAAGTGGTTACAGTTTATATTATTTTTGTAATTTAGAAAAATTTTGTGCTGCGAATTGGTCATTATTCTCTCAATTGTTCAACAATTGTATATCTAACGGAGCAAGACAACAACACCACACCGGAGATGGGTTTAGATATAATCGAAGTTCTCGATCTCTCCGACTCCGACGACGAGTGACAAAATGTGGGAGAATTGGAGGATTATCTGCTGGCGGATCCCGATAAGGAAGTCCCATTCCCCGCCAGCCCCTCGACAATCACCTAATCTACTTTACCAACATATACAAACTACTAATTAAAAAACCAAGGATGGGAAGATACAGCAAAAAATCGTTGACACATAAAGTTATGACAAATGGGAATTATGTCAAATGAAAATTATGACAAATGAACAGTATGTCAAATACACATTATACTAATTAAGCGTTATACCAATTAAAAATTATTACAAATAAACATTATGTCATAAAATAGTTATGACAAATGAACATTATATCAAGTACATTTTATACTGCATGATAATTATGACAAATAAAAATTATGAACAATGAACATTATGTCAAATTAAAATTATGTCTAATGAACATTATGTCAAACTTAAATTATGCGAAATAAACATTATGTCAAGTGCTTATTATAAAAAGTTAACATTATGTCAATCAGTAATTATGACAAATAACAGTTATGACTAATAAGAATTATGACAAATGAGCATTATGAGAATTGTAAATTATGACAAATTAACATTATATCAAATAACAATTATGTTAAATTGAATTTATGCCAATTAAGAATTATTATAAATGAAAATTATATTAAACAATCGATGTGACGAATAAACATTATATCAAATATATTTTATACTAAATGATAATTATGCCAAATAAAAATTATGACAAATGAAAGTTATGACTAATAAGAATTATGACGAATGAACATTATATCAAATACATTTTATGATGAATGATAATTATGCCAAATTAAAATTATGATCAATGAAAATTATGTCAAATAAAGATTATGACAAATGTATATTATGCCAAATAAAAATTTTGACAATTGAAAGTTATACCGAATATAACTTATACTAAATAAACATTCTGTCAAATGCGAATTATGCTGAATAATTAGTATGTCAATTAAAATTTATGCTAAAGTAAAATTATGACCAAAAAAATTATGACAAATATTGGTTATGTCAACTGGTTTTATGTCAAATGAATATTATGACATTTGAGATTTGGGGAAAATTACGGCACCACTCACTTTCACTCCATTTTCACTCCACTTTCACTTTTACACATAAAAAATCATCTAACTTTAAAACCAACTGACCAATTGATTTGTGCAAAGGATTTTTGAGCTCTCAAAACTATTTGCAAAGCCAGCAAATTGTGGAAAAAATTTTGTTTGCAAAATTTTCTATGCTGGTGATTAATTGCACCTTTTGCAAACAAAATTTTTTCCACAATTTGCTGGCTTTGCAAATACTTTTGAGAGCTCAAAAATCCTTAGAACAATTAAATTGTGAAAAAAAATTTGTTTTCAAAATTTGCAAAAAACTAATTTGTTTATTTAATGTTTTAGGAAGGACACGTTTGATAAAGAGGACCATTCTGCAGAAATCTACACCATCAAAGACAATATTGTCTTCGGCAACGAAGCGTCAGAAATGGCCCCGAGGTTGCCGAGACCACTCCCTAATGACGTTGTTTCAGAAAAAAGGTCCTTCCGGACCTTGGCCAGGAAATTAGAAGTCGCCGGAAAGCAGCGTTACAAAACTTGGAAGGGGAAAGCCGCCTCCAAAAAGTTCTGCTCACCTTCTTCGGCACCTAAAAAAACTCTAAAAAAAAGCAAGTTCGCCTTCTCCGACTTCTTCTTCTACACCTTCCGCTGCACCATCGTCGTCGCCTACACCTTCTTCGGTACCTAAAAAAACTCTAAAAAAAAAGCCAGTTCGCCTTCTCCGACTTCTTCTTCTTCTACACCTTCCGCTGCACCATCGTTGTCGCATCTCTCAATGGAACCGAGAGCCCGTCCGTCTTCGGTTGAAAAAAGAAAACGTTCTCTTTCACCGCCAGGAGCACCTAAGAAATCGATGAAAAAAAAGCCAATTCGCCTTCTCCGACTTCTCCTTCTTCTACACCTTCCGCTGGATCATCGTCAACGCCTGCCCCAAAGGAACCGACGGCCGGTTCGCCTTCTCCGATTCCCGCTGCAGCAACACCTGGAAGACCCTTATTCGTTCCAAATGAACGATTACAGAACGGTGTAGGTAAAAACATGTACGTGTCTATTAAGATAAATGACCTTGTGTGGGGCCAGTATGGATCTAAGGACAAGAATGATTCTCCGGTCCCCATGGAAGTAGCAGAGAGCATTCCGTCAGGAAGTTCCACCACCGTCGAAATCATATCCATTTCTGATGACCAAGACGAGGAGGAAGTTGACGAACCATCAGTGGAATGTAAGAAAATGTTTTTGTTTTTTTTAAATTAAAACTATTGAGTCACTCAAAGTAAAAATATATGTTACTTTGAGTGACTCCAGTGATATTTGACCCAAAGTATCACTGGAGTCACTCAAAGTAAAAATATATTTTACTCTGAGCAACTTTAATCAAAAAATTATTTTAACTTTGCAGCCGGTCCCGAGGGCGTCCAAGAAATAATTGGAATGGCCATAGTGGAGGCAGCAGCAGCAGAAGCAGGTAGAGCTGCTGGCACTACAGCAGGAGCAGCTGCTGTTATAACATCAGTCGCCGATGACGATAGTAAGTAACGTTATTTTTATATAATTCTAATTCGCAATACCCGTGCGAATTAGAATTATATAAAATTATATTAACGACATTATAATAATCATTCTTTTTCAGTCTCCATTCGTGATCGGGCGACAAATGCGGCAGCTGGAGCTGCTGCAGGATTCGTTGCCGGTGAAAATGCCGGCATTGCTGCCGGAGCGGAGGCCCGTACTGTGGCTGCAATTCAGACCGCAGTTAAATCTAATGAAACGGATTTGATAGCTACAGCTGCAGCCATAGGTGCCGGCGTCGGTGCAGAGACGGGTGCTGCAGCTGGTGCTTCTGCCGGTGCTGCTGCTGGTGCTGCTGCTGCGACAGTCATCGTGAACATTGATGACATATTATCACTACGTAAGAAAATTTTTTTAATTAAAACTATTGAGTCACTCAAAGTAAAAATATATGTTACTTTGAGTGACTCCAGTGATATTTGACCCAAAGTACCACTGGAGTCACTCAAAGTAAGAATATATGTTACTTTCAGTGATTCCAATGATACTTGACCCCAAGTACCACTGGAGTGGAATGTGAGAAATTTTTTTTTTTTTTTAATTAAAACTATTGAGTCACTCAAAGTAAAAATATATGTTACTTTGAGTGACTCCAGTGATATTTGACCCAAAGTACCACTGGAGTCACTCAAAGTAAGAATATATTTTACTCTGAGCAACTTTCATTAAAAAATTATTTTAACTTTGCAGCCGGTCCATCTGGAATTGGAAGAACTGGTGGTTTTTCCATCACTTCCGCAACTACGATGCCGGTCGCCGCTTTCGTCCCTGCGGAGAAGAGAAAGCGGGAAGAAGATTCCGACTCTTCATCGATTGATGGCAGCGAGTCAACCATCCCCGTCTGCCCGGGAAAAAGGATGATGTCGAAATCTTCTTCACAACCCGTTTCTCTTCCGCAGTTTGGCGAAGCGTCGAGTAAGTATATTTTTAAATATTAAACCCTTTAATAACAAATGCACGAAATAAATGGTTTACTATTTTCAGCATCACGTAGTTGCTCTCAACCCTTAACAAAGAAGGTAAAACCACTACCAAAATTTGGACGCCTTGAAGAAGGAAAACTTGCGTGGTGCCAGTACGGCAAGAGACTGGTGAAACAGCCAGTATTAATAATAAAAAAACCGCGTAGCGCATCGGGCAATTTTGCAGTACAATTTTTCGATGTTTATCCCTGCATAAAAAATGTCAAGTTATATCAAACTTCGGTAAAAAATTTGTTCGTATGGTCGGATTTTAATGTGTTGACGCTGATAACCCAGCACCGTCAACACAATAATGAAGAAGCATACAAAGAATATATAACATCTTTGAAAAATACCAAATTATATTTGAAAGAAAAACGTATACGCAATGTAGAGGTCAATGACCTCACTTTGTTAAATTTTGCGCCATTTAAAAATATATAAAATAAAAATTAAATTATAATGAAAACAAAATGTATTTATTTATTTATTTAACTCCTGTCAAATAAATTTTCTCTAAAGAAATTCTTTAACCACAGTGATTCCGGAGTTAATAATAAATTTTAAATTGTTATTAACTCCAGAGTCACTGTGGTTAAAGAATTTCTTTAACCAAAATGAGTGCACATAAGCAGTAAATTTTCCAAGTCCGTACTCGCCGCTGCTACATGAAAACTTTAACTATGGTGAGCCCTATAATTTTTAAATAATCCCGCCAAGTACACGTGCTGCCATCGTTTGTAGATAATGTCATTTTCTCTTTGCTCTATAGTGAGAACATGTTGCAACATTTCCTGACCCTAGAGAAAAGAGAAAATGACATTATCTACAAACGATGGCAGCACATGTACTTGGCGGGATTATTTAAAAATTATAGGGCTCACCACCGTTAAAGTTTTGATGTAGCAGCGGCGAGTAAGGACTTGGAAAATTAACTGCTTATGTGCACTCAGTCTGGTTAAAGAAATTCTTTAACCACGGTGAGGCTGAAGTTAAAAACAATTTTTTAATTGTTAATAACAATTTCCGAACTTCCCTTGGTGTGGAAATGAGAGAGTAGGTCTCTATCTTCAATTTAAGCCACTAGTTGCAATAATTTGTAGATATTAAAAAAAGTTGTGTCTCATATATTTATCAGGAGTTATCTTGTATAGGTCAATTGTATAAGTACAGTAAGACATTCCTGAGTAATATTTGAAACACGACTTTTTTTAATGCCAATAAATTATTGCAACTAATGGCTTAAATTGAAGATAGAGACTTACTTTCTCATTTCCACCCCAAGGGAAGTTCGAAAATTGTTATTAACAATTAGAAAATAGTTATTAACTCCAGCCTCACCGTGGTTAAAGAATTTCTTTAACCAGACTGAGTGTACATAAGCAGTAAATTTTCCAAGTCCTTACCCGCCGCTGCTACATCAAAACTTTAACGATGGTGAGCCAAATAATTTTTTAATCTCTCATTTCCACCCCAAGAGAAGTTCGAAAATTGTTACTAACAATTAAAAAATTGTTATTAACTCCAAATTTATTGAGACATTGCAAAATTCGTAAAGTTACTGAACCTTCGCTAATTTTTAATCCTTTCGGTTTTATTAACTTATTTTTAATCCGAAAACCTTTAAGTTTAAAGTTGGATCACTTCAGGAATTGTGCCTTATATTTAAATAAAAAATATTTTTTTTTAATTTTCTTCTCCATATGTTCTTTTTTATGTAAAAAATTTTATGTAATAAAAATATATCATATTATTAAAAAAAAACACATTGGAAGAAACCCTTGGCTGGCACAGACTCACAGTTTATTTAAAATGAAGATAATTTTTACAATAAAAAAAGAAAAGTCATTTTTCAAGATGCAAAAAAATTAAAAAATATTTTCTACGCTATCGTTTCGAAAACGCACTTTTTCTTATAAAAAACGGCTTTAATTATTCAAATCCTTAAATAAATTTAATTTAATTAGGTTAAATTATACCATTTTACAGATTTTTTTGACATGAGTAAAATGATTTTGCTTTATTTAATATTTTCATTGGGTTATGAAATTTATAAAAAAAAGTTACATTAGCTTGTATTAAAGAAATAAAATGTCAATAACATGATTCAATTAAAAGTGTTAAGAATTTAAACAAATAAATAATTTTATTCCACTCAAATCATAGTTATTTAGAGAAGGAACTTTTTAGGCTTAGTTACTCTTGTGAAATTTCGTTTACTCGTAAAGTATTGAATAAGACTGTATAAATTGAATAAGTTTGAGTGTTTGACAATATTTTGGATGTGCTTTAAATTACTATTTATTAACTTACTGCTCGAAAAAGTAAAATTTTATCTCCTAATTACACTGGTCGATAAAAAATGATTTTTGTCTATATCACGTATCGGAACATAATATTCTGATAAATTTTTCATTGCTGAATTCAAATCTGACATCAAAAAGTGCCCATCATGTCGAGATTTTGAGAAAAATTGGACTAAAAAAACCTTCTTTTAGCCCTGTTCTGATCACATGTAGAGAGTGATCCCGAGGTGCTAGAAGTCTCTCTTTAGGTTTAAATTAAAGAAAATATTTGTATTCAGCGACCCCAAAAACAGTAAGTTCCATAACTAAAAATTATAAATAATTGGGCCTCTGTATACCACTGAATAGGTGCATGTAGAGTGTGCGCGCACGAAAAAGTAATGCTACATGAAAATTTTTGATTGATTCTAGATTTTTTCAATTTACTTTCATTAAATGAAGGTTCATGATTTAATTTAAGCCTAAGGAGAGACTTTTTGAATCATTTTTGGTGTCGACCAGTGTTACCGTCAATTAGGGTAACATACCTTAGAAGGGTTAATTAGAAATACTTAAAATTGTGCACTTAGTTATTTAACTTTAGTTTTAAACAATTAAAACATGTTATTAGAAGATTTATAACATTTTTTTAAATCATACAATATTTCTTCAATAAATTTCATTTGTCTGGAATTAAATTAAGTGCTCAAAATTACAAATTAATAATGGGTTTTGCTCTATAAGATTGTATAAGGCTGAATTATTATTTATCAATTATTTTAAAATAGTTTAAATAATCACATTGTAAGAAAACTGTTTCATGAATAATCAGATTCGGAAGGTCTTAATTTTACTAAAGAAAAGGCAATAAATATTAATAAAACATGATGATTTAAATAAAGCTTTACTACTCGCGTAAGTGACAATGAATTAGAGGAACTCGTGATGTACGTTTCAAGCAGTCGTTTCTATACAAATTATGTTATTAACATATTGGTTTCACAGTAAAAATTTGTATAAACAAAATTAACATTTATTAATAGTCTCTTCTAAGTCCTTTTCATTGACATGAAGCAAGCTTTCAATGATTTAAACTTCAGATTATTATATTCCAGAAGTATATAATACAGCGTACACAAAAAACATAAAAGCAGATTTTGTGACGCGTCTATGCGTTCAACAATGATTACTTAATTTCACCAAAGTTTATCAAAATATTTATATCTTTCATCTTAATTGTCCTAATGCTTAAAGCCATTGTAGGATTTAATCATATTCCATTCGAAAATATATTTCCTATACCTTAATTTATTTAAGATTACAAATCTTTGTAGGCTGATAAAAAATCCACAATATATATATATATATCTTTTTTTGTTCTTCTAATAGGACATTTGCTTCTCAAGCATTCTAGCCGTAAGTAGTTCGACGTGCGGGAATCTCATCCGCACATCGCCCTCGGTGCACGGTTATGTAAACCGCACTCACGGCCTTTATTATATATTTGCTATGTCAAGTTCTGGTGTCTCTTAGACATTCTGTTGCCGTTTTAAGTTTGCATCCTTTTTTCAAAATTATTTAGACACACAACATGTTCATTAAAATTTATGGCCTTTAATACAAAATTAGACGTAATAAAAAGATTTTCTTTCACAATCTGACTGTTCATATTTTCAAATTAACTTTTTAATCAAGATGCAAAAGATTTCTAAGAAAAAATAGAAGACTTAATAAAACTGATAAATAAAAATTATTGCTTTTTTCTTATGAACACATTATTTCTGATATTTATGATTTGAAGCACATGAGTAGTAAAAAGAGCAGCAATATTCTTTCGCACATCCAATACAATACTATGACACATCTAAATGAATTATATTGAACTAAATGGTTTATTTAGATTTAGCCACATTTAAGTACACGTGTTATTTGTGCTTCGAATTTAAAAATCATTTTTCAATGAAATTCACGTACAATTACACGTGTATTTGATGATTTCATATTTTCCGAAAGCTTCAAAATGTTTTGTAACGTGCAAGTCATTCTTTGATTTTAAAATTAAATGTCTCACCAAAACTCAACGTGTAATTACTCGTGAAATCGACACTTTCTTTTATAAAGTTTATAATATATACTTTAAATCTAAAAATCAATTAAATCTACATTGAACTCCATTACACGTTTATTTGAAACTTTAATATTTTTTCGAAATTTTGAAAGTTGTTTAACATAGAATTATACGTGTATTTAAATGAAAGACAATTTTCAGGTATTTCTTGATCAAAACTTTGATTTATTTTTAATAACAAATCAAAATTTTGAACTAGAAATACTTGAAATTTTTTTCTTATTAATTATGTTATGGATCACAATTTAACCTGACTTAAATGTATTTAAATACTTTGAAAATTAAGAAACAATTTTCTCTATTAATTTCAGTTTAAAAATAATTCCCCTCATTTAAATACACGCATAATAACTTTTTAAAACTTTCAAAAAAATATTAAAGTATGAAATATACATACGTAAAGTTCTTTGAAAAGATGATTTTTATATTTAAAGTATAAATTACACGTGTAATTACATGTTGCTAAATCTACACGTGTATTTTTTACAGGAGTGTCTTTTTTTAAGTGAATCATGTTTCTTCTATAATTAAGTAATAATTTACCAAAATTCGTTCTCTTAATTGTAAGATTTGAGTGGGAAAACTTGAAATTTGTAAAACGTAAATTTGAGAAAGTTAGTCAGTCTAAATGTTATAACTGTTGATGATCGAATTTTATTTTTAAAAATTACTACCTAGACATTTTTTTTCTAAGCTTTATACAATTTAAGTGTGTATTATTTATTACTTTAAAAGTGAAAAAACTGGCTGATTTTTAGTATAACTATACTAACTTGAATTTTTTTAAAATAGATTTCAGGAAATTACAGTAAGGCTTCGTAATTAAAGGTTTGCTCGACTTTTCTACTTTAAGTGACACAACTGAAGAGTTATTTAACTTCATTTACATTCTAGAGTTTAAAAAATTAGTATATTATGAAATATTTTTTTAAATCAAAAACAAGAAAAATAAACATTAGTCGTTCACTGTATGTTCATAAAAAGGGTAAGTTAAATTTAAAAGTAATTAAAAGAACATTGCTACATGAAATGATTCATGTATCAATTTTTCAAAAATTTCCAAATGGTATTCCATTTGAAGCTCATGGACCAATTTTAGCTATCGTGTAAAATAGAATGAGAAAGATTCATTGAAAAGAATGATTGGCAGACTTTTTTCATTTTTCGACAACAATTTTCCAATTTGAATTGATTATAACTTTTAAATGGAATTGAAAAAACCTAGTTTACACGAAACCTACACATGCAAGGAACTTACTGTCCAAATTTGAAGTTAATTGGTTGATTAGTTTTAAAATGAGAGTGTGACAAAGTTGAAAATATGGAGTTTTGAGAAAAACGCGTTTAAAGTTTTATAAGTAAAAATTAAACAAACAAGTGATTTTTACTCAATCCGGTATACTAGCTACATAGATCATTCTTTGGCTTCTAAAATATCACTTTCAAGTAATCTATTGCCAGTCAAGTACAAGTCCGTTCACTGCTAACCGATCGGTATAAACGCGTGCGTTCGCGAGCTCGGTGAGTTGTTGCTTGTTGTTACTCAATTTATATGAGTTCTAGACCTAGGAAATACTTTAGAATAACTTTTCCGTGTTCTTAAATAGTTATACTAACTAAAGCGCGTGAACGTTGTATTTCAAACGTTAAATAATATAATTTTTCATTATAAATTTATAAAATTTATTTCCATAATAGTTTCATTTCTATAACCAAGTAAAAATAAATTTGCGCGCGTGTTCTCTCCTCATGCAATCTTTGTATCATATTGTTACAAATAACAATCTCAATTTTTATTATATTTTACTTATACTTTACTTTACTTTTTGAAAATCTCATAATTTTATCTATAAGTTAATAGAATCAATTATTTTATTATTTAAAACTATACACTATTTCAGTAAATCAAAATTGACAATAAATATTATAATTCAAAAATTTTGTAAAAATGTAATATTTGATAATGTTATATCAAAAAAGCAGCAGAACTGCAAGATAAATAATTATTTAAATATCAAATATTTATTATTTACAAAAATTCAAATACTGTAGAAAAACATTAAAAATCCTAATGTTTACTTCGTAATAAAATTTGTTTTGTAAAATATTAAAATCTAACCTTTAATTTTTATCTTCACATGTGTTTTGAAAATATAAACACAAAGACATACAAAAAGCACACTATAATAATTTTTTGTTATTATTGCAAATCTCGTAATATATAATACCTTACCTCTTAGCCGATTCCGAAGGTACATGCGGCAAGCCTCCGCATGGTGCTCTCTAGGGTGGGCATATATTATTTTTGCTAGCTCCCTCCCATCTTGCATGTTAGCATTACTTTTAAATTATAATTTTATTGAAAAATTCTTGAAATTTTTTTTTGTTTTCCGGTACCTAGAAAGATGCAGTTTTTTTCAAATTTTGCTATTATATTATGCTTGTTAAGTTGCAAACTTAGGAAAAAACTGCATCTTTCTAGGTGCACTACAAAAAAAGTTAATAAATAGCAACAATTATTTATTTAAACAATTTATAATAATAGTTATTGTAAATTTAATTATATATTTTATTTTATTTATAACTTTTAAATTAATAACTTCGAAGAAAAGGTAACAAATTTATAAAATTTTGCTACTGTCTATGTATATTTGATAAAGTTATAAATCATTAATAATAAATTGTTTAAACAAATAAAAAATCAACAAAACCTTAATAAAATATATTTTTTAGTAACATATAACTTAAAATTTGTTGTTATTAGATGAACCATGAAAAAAATTCAAAAAATAATTAATGGCTTGGTTAATCCAAATGAATACAATCAATTGTTTGATGAAGTAAAATTGACTAAAACCGCCACAATGGAGGATGGGCGGAAATTAGCGTCCATTCTGTACGCATATCCTAGAGAGCACCATGCGGAGGCATGCCGCATGTTCCTCCGAAATCGGATAAGTGGAAAGATATTGTAGGGTAAAGGCACCAGTTTTCGAGGATGAACCAGTTCTCGAGTTACCATGGTAACAACCTAAAATATTGTCTTTGAATAATTATTTTCTTAGTGAATTTAAAATTTACTTATTATATTTTACATGTACAACACATATTAAACCTAATATTTATTATTAATCAAATTTTTACTAAGATTTAATGTTTATAGAAAGAAATTAAATTTGTTTACTCGAGAAATGGTTCATCCTCGGAAACTGGTGCCTTTACCCTATATAAATGTATTTTTGCGTAAAAATTACAGGGAATTGGAGTTGATGATCAATTTTTATCAGATTTTTAAAGATAAATTATAATTTTAAGGGAAAAATGTATTTTTCCGCAAAAAACGAAAAAATTTTATCTAAAGTGATTCAAATTTATACATTTTGACGTATTTTTACGTTCTTGATTTTTCTGGTGCTGTCAAGAAAAAACTAATAATTTTAGAAAAAATCATGAATTTTCTCCCAATAACCAAAATAATTTTATCTAACGGGCTTCAAATTGATTATTTTTACGTATTTTTATGTTTAGATTATAGAAATAATTTAATACACATGATAAGAAGTGGAAAAAATGGACTTTTTCCTTAAGGTAGTATTACACTTTACACTGTCAAAAAAAATCGAATTTTTTTTTTGCATTTTACTGTTCTAAATCATCTTGGAAATATAATCCCAAAATATTAAATCAAAATTCGACGAAATAAAAAAGTTACAGAACAAAGTGCAGCGCAGTGTATTTACGCGCACAGCGACAGTTTTGCGTTTTTTATTTAAAAAGAAGTATAATTTGTTTACTTAAAAGTTTACAAAATTTTCATATGCACCATTCGAAAGAACGGTTTTTGGCACATAAGAAATGGCTATTGCAAATTTTTTTTACAGAGTTTAATTGCGAAAATACTGCGTCATATTTTGATAAAAACTTGTACATTTAGGAGTTTAAATTTTAAACGCGTTTTTCTCGAAACTTCAATTAAGCAAATTATACAACTTCTGAGCAATGAATATATTAATCAGAGTGGTATTATATATTGCGGAACGGTTGACAATGTTCGAAATTTACATAATATTTTACATCAGAATAATATTAATTCTGTAATGTATTATGCTGAATTACCAGAACTGATCAAAACTACTACTTTTGCTGAATGGAAGAATAATAATGTAAATGTTATTTGTACATTACGAGTTATGAAATTCACTATGTAACTACATCCAAGAAAGTGGACGACGTGGAAGAGGCAGTGAAGTTGCTAATAATATCTTGTTTTATAATTATAATGATTTTGATCGGAAATTTAATTCAATCTTAAAGTCAACTGTAACAACTGTTGTTATTAAAAACATTTTAATTAAGAATTTAATCACAATGTTACAATACTGCGAAAATATATCTATTTGTAGATATAAGAAAATGTTGACATTTTATGATCAAAATCATGTTAACCCCGATAACATTGTCATTTTCAATAACGAAAATTGGAGCTCTACTAATTGTGACATTTGCACACATCAAAATAATGTATCTTTTGTGGCATGTAATACAACTGCACAAAAAATTGTCACATGCATAAAAGAATGCAATGAAAATAATAAATTTTTGAATTATAAGACATTCATACCCTTCTTAAAAGGAAAGTGTACAGTTGATGTATTATTAAATAAGTTGCATGAATCTGAACATTTTGGAAAATTATGTTCGTGGTCCGATGGACAAATTAAAAGATTGATGCTTCTTTTATTGTCCGAAAAATTAATTTCCATAAAATTATTAGATAACAGAGACAATGATTATAATATTCCTTTAACGTACAATAGCAACATTCCATTTTTATTTGAAAATCCAACAATTGTAGTTGATGATATCTTACAAATGACGGTAATAGTTTTGTTTCTATATTTGTAATACCTTTTTTTCATTTTTTCTTATGAACTATTATATATAAACTTATATGGTTACAAGAACTTTTTTCTTTTACAGTTACAACTTTCCGTAACTAACAATGAGAGAGCAAACTTCTTAAATATCACTTTATATCGCATTAAAGTAATGTGTTATAAACAACTTCGTTTTGTTGCGGATCTTTTTTCTATAAACGAAATTTGTATAAATACATACAGAGTAAGAAACACAAGGAAATTACGTGCATTATCGAAATTGTTACCAACAACAATGGCTGAGTATAAAACAAATTTCTCAAATAATGAAGAAGATGTAATTTTACAGGAATGGGATTAAAGTTTATTTGATGTTATACAAACATTTAATGAGGTACTTCTTATTTGATAATGATTTTTTCGTCTATTTTTAATAAAATCTGTATTACTATTCTTTTTTGTATTACAGATGAAACGAAGATATGGATATCAATAATTTTTAATATGTTTTCAACGTAAATAACGATAAAAATATTTAGATATGTACTAACTTAACAACCATAAGTGAAATACATAAATATTATTTCACACATTTATAATTATTAATATAAATAATGTAGTACTATATTATTTCATGTTATTCATATGATATTATACCTATAAACATTGAATTAATTCTAATGTTATTTACATTGATAATATTACTTTAAATACATTAAAAATAATTTCCAATTTTTAAAGACATATGATAATATTTATCGAAAAAATTTGTATTTACTATTTATTTACTTGTTCTTTATTATTATGAAGTAGTTTATGAAGAAAATATAGAAAGTAATTTTTTTTATAATAATGAATTATAATTTTAAAAAAACAATGTTTATTTGTCTATTATGTAATACTGTGAAAATATAACAATAATTTATTATTCACTATCATTTATACATGCAATAAACTATTATACGTATATTATTTTTATTGTAATATTTATTTTTCTTTTGATCTTAGCATAACATTTAATTATTATAATTTTCATATAACAATAAATTATATTCATAATAAAAAGTGTATATAATTAATTAAATATAATTAATATTAATACTAAACAATTTTAGTATATTATTTTCAAATTTATTTATGGTTTTAAAAACAACTTTAACATTAAATTTACTAAACATTCTAACCAAAGTACTTGAAAATTTATTTATATATAGAAGTGATATAATTTTTGAAAAATCTAAGTTCGTTTCAACTTTATTTGTATTATCATAATATTCTATTCTTTTATTAATATATTTATTTAAAAAAACACTAGGATATCCATTTTCTAATAAAGTGTTGTAAACAATGTTTATTATAATAAAATTTAAAAATCAAGTTTGAGACTAATTTTAGAATCTAGAAAAATACGTTACAATTTGGCGCCCAACGTGGGGCAACACGTTTTACATCCCTGATAAGAGAGTTCAAATTTTGTGTTAAAAATTTTTATATTCAAGTTCGAAATTGTTCCGTTAAAAGTTCTTACCTAATGCTACAGTTATTTTGACTTATGGTTTGTAATAATTCCAATTGTTTAGTTAAAATATTATAAAATTCTTGATTGTTTAATTTATAATAATAAATTGAGTTTCAATTAATAAAAATTTTTTAATCACTTCGTGTGAGAATAATTCGCTACAGAAGGTTGGTTACAAAGAATAAATGTTTAAGGAAATACTAAATTACAGATTATTATTTTTGTTAAAGTTACAGATAATCGTCATCAACTTCTAAATAATTTATTACGAGAAGGTTGATTTCGATTTCAAATACATAAAATTGTGTTAAGAAACCAAAAAAATTCGCGAAAGTTAAAAACTTCAAAATTATAGAAATAAAAAATTGTGAATTTGTTAAATTAAAAAGAAAAATTATTGAGAATTGATAAGTGCGAAATTAAAAATTTTAAGTTAAGAATTTAATAAAATATTTCGAAATATTATTTGCTTTTAATAATTTTATTTCGATAATAACTTGTTGTCATGTTATTGTTCATTTAATTAAATTTTATTTTCAGCTTAAATACAAGTCAATATTATTGATAATACCATTGTTCCCTAAAATTCTAATTTAATTAATTGTTTTGAAAAATCGTATTTCTCAATTTTCAATAATGGAATTGATTAAAATTCACTATTTCTGTCAATCAATATTTTAATTTTGCCTTTTCGTAAATATAAATGTTGCTTTCCAAAGTTAATTGGATTTTGTTTTTCTTTGGAAATATTGATTTCTATTTTCGAAATATTAATTTTCTTTCACCGGTGGGGAAATGAGTAAGGGCCACCTCCTTATCTATTTTCCCCACTTATGCTAATTTTGGAGGAAATTGATTAGGTGGGAAAATCGCCCCTACAATGAAGAGCCTAGCTCCGTGAAGACGCTTGACCATCTGATCACTTGTTTCCTGGATTTCTTTTGAATCCGTTTAACCCTCATCAGTTTTCAGTAAATACTCTTATTCAATTTAAACTTGATTAACTCATTGTTAGTGCCTTTATTGTGATTTATTTTGTGTAAAATTTTTTTCGGTTGTTCTTTTGGCTACAGAACCTGTGCAGTGGTGGATACAGATTTTTCTTTTTTTTTCTTTTGGTGAAAACATTGATTTTTCTGATTGTGTGTGTTGCTTGGAGGATTTGGTTCTCCCAATTGTTCACAATTGTGTAAGATGGTGGCAGACAGCACCACCCCACCGGAGGAGGACTTCAACATCGAAGTCCTCAATGTCTCTGAATCGGACGAGGAGTGGCACGACGTGGAGGAATGGGAGGACATCCTACTGGCGGATCCTGACGAGGAAGTCCAAATCCCCGCCAGTCCCAGCCCCTCGACCAGCTCAAGCTCCTCAATCATTGAGATACTTGACTGGCCGGAAGCTGTAAACGGGGATATGGACATCGAGGAGGCACCGCGAGCACCGTCACCATTCGAATCCGATGACGAAACAGTGGAGATGGAAGATCCACGTATCCCCACACCTCCACCGTGGAACCCGCCACCACCAGAACGGAACGGACCTGGAGGGATTCCTGGACCACCGGAGGAAGTTGAGGTGAGGCTGGAGGAGGATCCATTCTGGGACCCGATCCGGCCGTTCATTCCTTCGCTGGTCTGGTTGGAGCAGTACCGTCCTGGCCTCTTAAGGGCGATCAATGAAATGGTGGCTCGCTACAGTCATCGCGACAATGAGGAGTGTTACGCCGAAAATCGTAACATAAATAAATAATAGTTTTATTTAATTTTTATCAGTTGAGACTAGTCTTAACATTAAATTATCATTTTTGTCACCTAAAGGCGTAGTGTTACAATCTTGAAATTCCGATGCATCAGCAGAAGGATGCTAGATCGTTCTTACCACTAAGATTCTTTTAATGGGATTATTATTTATTTAATATGTCCAGTATAATTTATGCAGGCTTTTGAGCTCGACATGAATTCGACATGTGTATGTCTGTACATATTTATGCGTAATGGTACATAGGTGACTCCCATAATTAATTAAAAGAGATACCTATGCTCTTTATTGCCAAAAAGGGTCGTAATTTCGTCAATAACGTCGTCGCAAGAGCCGCGACCATTGTAGAACATTAGTAACCTTGCGGCGACGTTACAGACCAAGTTCGTAAATAAATAGCGAATCGCAATTTTGCGAAGGATGCGAATTAAAGATTCAGAATTCTGGCATCGTTATGAAGCGAATGGACATTGTTGCAATGTTACCAACTTGTAACTTTTGTCGTTAGCGAACCGCAATTTTGCGAATATTGCGGTCTCAATAATATACATTGCCACAACCTCCTGAAGCTGATAATTCATGCTAAAATCTTGTTAAATGGTAAACAGCCGAGACATCGGCCAGAGACCTTCCAGCAACGTTGCGAGGTGCTATTGAATGGGTAAATATGTTTAAATTAAGTGTTACGAAATAAGCGCAGATTTTATTTTAAAATCATTAATTAGTTTATTAATTACTAAAATATGTCATTATATTAATCTAAATAGGTCATGCCGCATCTATATTGTTGATATAAAAGAATGTTTAAATTTTAAATTATTAAAGAACTAAATTTAAAATTGAAATTAAAATAAAAAGAATCGAAATTAAAATAGTATTTCTGTGCCGTCTAGTGGGGTTACCACTGAACGCGTTCAGTGGAAGCTCCCCGCGCATCCCTCGGCATTGTGCGAGAGAGAAAGAAGATATGCTGTACCAGCAAATCTTTCTCTCTCAGATACATTAGAGCGTGCGTCTCTTTCCACCTAGCGAACCTTTCTCTCTTAGACTAACGTTTCTTTAAGCTGTATCGCTTCTCTCTTACTCCACAGACCGTTGAGTGCATGGCAGTCGTTGGTTCTCGCATACTCATTTGGACTATACGCTACAGGTACCTATACATATGAGTTCGGGCTATAGGCGCTTACATGGTACGCTATATTCCACAGTACCATTACACTCTTATTCCCCTCACCTATTCTTTCTCCTTACCTCCCTTCTTCCGTCCAAGCCTACAAGCTATGCAATACAGTGCTGTCAGATTAAAAGCACGTGTATTTATTTATTTTGAGTTATGCTACTGCTCAATTCCAGATCAAAATTGGGTATGAAGTTGAAATTAAAATATTTTACCCAATACTGGAATTCAAACAAAATTAAAAGGATGTATTTTAAAAATTAAACATTTTTAAAGATACATGTACAGTGAATGTACTAAGGATTTTCCTATAAGGAAAATTATTATTTTCCAATTAATTATCCTTTTAGGATAATATATCAATTTTATTAATTATTTTAATTGGAATTAATTTTAACTCCAATTCTCGAAATTATTTAGCAACTTCCGTTCAAATGTGAAGTCAGCTAAAAATCGCATGGCAACAGGCCCCTGAGTTCCACCTCTATCTTTACAAATTTTCCTTAGTTTGCAAAAACTAGCTTAGTAACAATGTCCAATACCCTTGTTACCATTTCCACCTGTTTTCCAAAATTACGATTCAGCATTAATTCCCACTTTAGATCCCTAAGCGTACCTACGAGGCATCTCTGGCCCATTTCTCTATGTTCAGTACGGTCTTGGTGAAACACGGAATAACACCCGTGCCTCTACCAATTAAAAAGCCAACGCGCTCCCGTCCGGTACCAAGGACCCGCTTTAATTGTATGCTTATACGATTACTGCGGCCGGACGTAAAATAAAAATTCAACTTACTCCGAAGTCCACGGAGGCCGGTTGAAATCAATTCGGGGAGAAGTTTTAAGGGAAGTCGCTTTCCTTATCTTTGTCGCGAGACCAGCCGGGTACGTGTAGGACCCGCGCCTGCCCTTGTAATTGACGGTCAACAAATTAGAGTAAAAGGGTGGATTTGTCTGTCCCTGTCTAGTTAACGCGAAAACGACATACGGCAAACCGCTAATGCGCCACCTGAGTGAATGTGAGAGGACACAAAATTATAATAGTTTTTTTTTATTTTATTGAATGTTTTGCCCGTCGGCAAGTGATTGTAAGGGGCGAGAAGGTGTTCAACCCTCAACTAACCGACGGTAGAATAAGGAACACGGAACGGTAAGTACTCAACGTATCGTTTCGAACTAAAACTCAATTTCATTTGTTAAATTTGATTATTTCTTTTTATGTCTTGCTAATTTCTTTTTGATAAATAAAATTTGTGATTTTTTTTCCTAATTCTTTGCTAATTAATT